TAATAGTGTCCGATCGGTGGATTCATAGTATTTTGCGTAGACAACTGTTAATAAACACTTGTATCTTCTGGATGATGGCTTTCGTAGTTCTCCAGGTTTCCGCCCCATACAGTAGAACTGTTTTGACATTTGTATTTAAAATTGTGACTTTGTTGTTGCTTGACAATTGTTTTGGGTTTCAATTGTTCTTCAATTGTAGATATGCCGCTTTTGCCTTGCCGATCCGAGCCTTCAAATCCGCATCAGATCCACCATGTTCATCAATGATGCTGCCCAGTTATGTAAAGGCTTTTACAACTTCCAAATCTCCGTCAAGTGTGATTCGATTGTTACATGCCTTTTTGTAACGGAGAATCTTGCTTTTCGTAGTTACTGCGTGGAGCTCTATCCAGGGGTAGTCTTCAAATACCAATATGATCTAGATCAAACTGTTAATGACTTCATGAAAGGATACCAAGTTTAGCTTCTCTTAGCTCTCTTAAAATCTACTCATACCCTGGTCATAAAATGATTTGTTACCTGTGACTAGTGTTTTACTGCATTGCCTAGGTAATGGACAGTTATTTGTTCTACGATATCCAAGTAACATTTCAATGATAAGCGCGATCGAAAACTTATAGCCCATAAATATCCATTTTCATCGGATATATTTCATTAGGACCGAACAAAATAGAGCGAACTGTTGTACAGTATATTCTTTTTTTAACGTACAGATGTCTCGCTCACATCATAGCAACAGAACATATAACTTTGATAGGCAGTAGGTGAGGTTATTAATTTCGAAGAAAGTTCGCAATAAACTCGATATTAACCATAAGTTATCGAGTAAAATTCATTTATATGCTACACATACATTTTTAGCACATCCTTCAGCATAAATACTATTCCTACATGTTTAGGATGACGAAGCAGAATTCTGTCGTAAGAATAACTAATATTATTACATTCAAAGGTCATTATGCATCCGTATGTTTTACAAACTGCTGAGAAATGAATTAGTCTTTAATATATCCATACCTATGTTTGAGGCCTCTTTGTTTTTCTCAATTCTACTGTAACTGAGCTCTATTTAGGTATCAGATCATTACGAATAGTGATATTTTAAGAATAGTAGTATAGTATATTTACTACTCGTAAGATAGAATATAAATAAACATGATATTACTAACATAGTCCTTATAAACCATATCTTATCAAATTTTGGATTTCAATTTATCTTCTTAAACAGTAAAATTTTAACTTTAAAAAAGTGAATTAAATATTTTCATATTAATTAAAACAATAATTATAAAATGTAATTATTTTCACTTATGTATATATACTTAAAATAGAAAATATTCAAATTAAAGTAGGCTGAAATACTTTCAAAAGTATAAAATGACACATACATTCCTAATATGAAATATGAATACAAAAATATTCTGGCAGATATACGATTAAACTTATTTTTATTTGTATTAAAAAAATGGTATAAAATGGAAATACTCAAAAGTGATTATTGTCAATGTACACCAAAATAAAATGAAGAGTTTATTATTCTAATCAACATCTTTCTATGATAGATTTATTATGTAGGCATTTTCTATGAAAAAAGCATTAAAGCGATTAAAGAAATGACACAAGATTATCAAAAGAAAGTTATTTCTATGTCTTTCTAAATAATATTAAGGTATAAACAATATGTTTTAAAATGGGAAGTTCTTTTGCAAGTATAATGTGTTATATAATAAGATAAAATTTAGTGTTTAGAAATGATTCTAAACGCTAAATTTGACGATTTCATTGAAATTTTGAACTGATTCAAATTGGAATATCACTGAAAATCTTTAATGACTGAATGGTTATGTAATACTAGTATGGAACTCGACGAACTCACATTCAGGAGTCAAACCCAAAATGTTAGGTCTCACGTACGAGCAGTTTAATTTTAGATAACTGTACTGGGATTCAACGTCATTATTGTCTAAGTTGAATGAATCTGAAATTTAAGGAAATAATTTCGAAATTTTGAAAGACCTAGTTATTAAAATATCTAAGTCTCTTCAAATATGGAAAAATAACTTTCTTTAACTTTTAAATTTCCCTGATAATCTTAAATCTATTTTAATGTTAGAGGTGATGTGATAACTGTATGTTTGTTTGACATTTGATTTGATTGACTTTTATTAGTTTTCGCTTAGAAAAATTTTAAAAACAAACAAAAAAATATATGATCCGACGTTTCAAAATATTTCACCCAAATATAATTGGTCAATATTTCTCAGAACAATTTCTTCTTATTGTACAGTTTCAAAATTTATAAAAAAAGACTAATTAGAATAACCTCCGATTTTACCCAAAACCATATACACATTAACCAAATGATTTATAAATTAAGACTGATTTACTTAATCAGTGGTTATTTGATCGATTATTGATTTCAGTATTTTAAATATAAAAAAAATCAATTTATAACATCATAATCATATATAGAAAGGTAATTAAACATGTTAGCACTAATTAAATATGAATAACTTTATAATACTTTGTAAATTCATTATTAAATGGAGTAATAATGGGATGTTGTTGTCAACCAAATCAAATGAATTATGAAAGAAAATATAAACAGTGGAATACATATTCAGTATCATGTTATGAAAATTGCAGTAAGTTCTGATAAGTTATACATTTGTCTTTCATAGTGTTAACCAATTTCGATAAATCAAAGTATATTAGGAATATTGGGATGTAATATACGTTGACTATTATATTATAATTGTTGCAATTGAAATTATTACAAGTCCAGTGAAGTAGTCTAGGTTTAATGTATATATGTCAGTTTAGAAACCAAACTAAGCGTTGGTGCGAAATATAATGGAAAAGTATAATTGTAGTCTATTCAGTCGTTATGGCTTTAGTTGGTGAAATAAACATATCAGATGTTATCTATTGATAAACTACAATTTAATGTATTAGAAACATAGTTATTAAATATAAAAATGATTAGTTCATTTCACTTGTCACAATAATGAACGATGTAGACTTATGTCAGTTTCCGGCTTATCTCAGCATCTTTTCAAAAGAAATATTCAGTTTGAAGTTGATCAGTAATACATAAATATTTAAGTGGTTTAAGGGTTAATAAAATGGTGTAATAAACTATTCGATAGCTAAAGTTATTAAATCAAATAAACAATCATCAATAATTATCAACACCCAAACACTCAGCTTTTATAGTAAAGATAAATGCAAGATGTTTCATAACTGTTTTTTTTGTAGACTGTATATGATAATTGTAAAGAGCGATTTGAACAATACAGTACTTTTAGTTATAATTTTTCCTATGGTAATAGTTCAAAATTCTCACATTTCTCAGATACAGAATACTTGTTTTATTATTTTCTTTTCCAAAACTTACCCAGTGCTTTTTTTATCATTATAAATGTGATATATATCAGGCTTTACTTTTTCTATACTCATAAACTGTAACTATTGTATTTTTTTTGAAGATATTTTCTATATATATAATTTTTATGATGTATCATCATACAAATTTAATTGGGTTAATCACAGAAAACTTATTACTTATCTTTAGAATAAAATAAAGATGAAATAATTTTGAAAGATTATGACTTAATAATTTATCATTAAAAGTATTATGTTGTTCAAATTGTTCTATAGAAATATTACATACAATCTGCAAAACAAAATAGTTATTAAACATCTTGCATTTATCTTTATTATAAAAATTGAGTATATAATTAAATAAACCCATAATGTCACTGAATCAAAACAAGAGAATTCAGCGAAAATTTTCTTTTCGACGAAATCATTTACTTAAGCTGTACATCCGTATAAATATAGTTAGATATGGAAAATACATGTCTATAGGAGGATAGAAAAGATTGCATCACAAAAATGGATTCGAGAATAAATAACAAATGAGGTTAACGTACTAATCAAGTGGAAAGGAAGAAAATAATTTATGGGTCAGATAATAGTCCTCATTTGTTATTTATTGTTTAATCCATTTTGTGATACAATCTTTTCTATCCTCCTATAGACATGTATTTTCCATATCCAACTATATATACGAATGTACAGCTTAAGTAAATGATTTCGTCGAAAAGAAAATTTTCTTCGTTGAATTCTCTTCTTCTTATTCAATTATGTTTTTGTTGATAGATGTTATGAAGAATCTGTCTCATAAATGTAATTTTTTTCGTTTCTTCTTAATAGTTATTTATGAAACTTAACTAAGTCGTTCTTCTATACACTCATATAAACAGAATTTTAGCCTGACCATATCTTTATTGGCATTAACTTATTTATTGTTTTGATTACTTTTATGGTAAATGATATATACCAAACAATCAAATGAAATTATACTACTACTACTGCCACTGCTACCACTACTACTACTACTACTACCAGTAGTACTACTACTACTTATCATTACTTAAAATCTTCTATAACACTTATCTTTAAAATAATTAAAACAAAAAAATCTCAAAACAATATTCTTTTCATTGAAATAATAACCTCTCAAATGAACTTCAAACAAAATAATACACAGAATTACTCATAATAAACTAAAGTTTCAAGTCAAATCCATAAAATAATCATATAGTAAATTTTGTAATTGATTTTCATTTTTATAACCTTACAACGTTGGAAGGTTCATTATATTGAGTTAGGTAATTGTTAATACTAATAATATAAGTTATTACTAATATTATAAAGAATATTGATTTGATGTGATTACTGATTTACACAATTTGAAATTAATAAAATGAGTCATTTTGTTTATTATAATAAGTAATATTTGCATAATAACATTTAATTCATTTATATATAGTGTGTCAGCATTTTTATATAAAATTATTATCTTGTATTTTGCAGGTAATTGTTGGTGTTGTTTATGTTGTTGTCCATTTGCAATTGCTGAAATTTATCATTATACATGGTCGTTACCATGGTCAATAGCGCTTATATTTTCTATTATACTATTACCATTTCATATGCTAATTACATTATTACTACGTATAAAAATTCGACGTAAACATAAATTGGAAGGTAATTGTCTAAGTGATTTATGCTGCCTAATTGGCTGTTGTTGGCCAATGATCATTTGTCAACTAAGAGATGAAATTTTATATTTACGATCGAGATCTGAATGGAAATTAGGTTATTCACATCAATTAAATGATAAACCTCCTTGGGTAAAAATGCTTACGAAATCAAAAAAGAAAAACAATAACGATGTGGAAAGTTTACATATCAATAGTGATTATGATGACGAAGAGGAGGAGAATATCAAAAAAGACGATGACGATGATGATGATGATGATGATGATGATGATGATGATGATGATGATGATGATGATGATGATGATGATGATGATGATGATGATGATGATGATGATGATGATGATGATGATGATGATGATGATGATGATGATGATGATGATGATGATGATGATGATGATGATGATGATGATGATGATGATGATGATGATGATGATGATGATGATGATGATGATGATGATGATGATGATGATGATGATGATGATGATGATGATGATGATGATGATGATGATGATGATGATGAAAACTGAACTCATAAGAAATGACTATAACAAAGGAATCTTAAAAGAAATTAATAAAATATGAATATGTAGTTGGCAGTAAGACAATTGAAAATGCACTTTCAACATCAAGTTTACAAAAATGTTATATATTTTGAAACAATGTGTGGTGTGTACTACTTGTGTAGACACAAGTAGTGTATAATGTTAGTCGTGAGCAGAATGTCTGGCAGCAGAGAGACAAGTAGATCGAACAGTAAAGAATGAACACAGAATGCAATTTGTATGAAAATGCAAGAACAATGAAGTCTGAGTCATTTCGAGACAATTGGTGGACAGTTTGCAAATTGAGCACTTAATATATGGTTGTTAGATTTTATTAACAAGTTCTGCAATACATTCCACTGTTCCCCACTAGTGTTCTTGTTCACTACAGATGTATTATATGTAAACTAGTTAACAATTAAATGTTCAATGCATATTTCAACTTGTATTTATTGAGAACAACTATCTGAATATTTCATATTCAATTTTAATTTAATTAATACTATAATTGCTAAGTATTTGTTTGATAAAATTGTTTTCGTAAAACAGAAAGATATTAATCATGTTTTATGTTGTAGTAATGAGAATGTTTTTGTTTTTTGTGCATTTTTAAAAAAAAACAATAAATCATTCAACAAAAGACTTGAAAGTATTGATTATATAACTTATATTTCTTAATTTAGAATTTTACATAAATAAGGGTGTTCGGTTATTCACATTGCACATATTGGAACTATTATGAAATTCTAATAATATAGAAATAAAAATGATCACATTCATAAAGAAAGAGGGAAAAAAGAAAAAAAGAAAGTTTTTCCCACAAATTATTCCATAGAAAGAGTAAAAAATGAACTTTTTGAAAGTATATTTTAAGTTTAAAAATAAATAACCATGAGAAATTTGAACTAAATTCATACTGTCAATTATTTTGGATCTTTCTTTCTACGAACTAATTCTTTCTTCTTGTACTATATTCTTACATAAAATCTTTCCTTTATATATTACACCATTAAGTTAACTGCTTCTATAAATCCAGTGTTCATCTTGCTGTGCTAATGAGGTGTGGCATTTTGAATTGATGCATGTATGTGTCTGGTCCTACGTTGTAACTGACTGACCGTCAATTACTTATTTCTGCTCTCTCTCATGGAATTTCTATTCTGTAAACTCACATTCCCAATATAGATTTCAATTTAATAAGTAAATAATCAAACTAAGCAATTAGATGATATTCAATTCTGTATTAATTAAATTTTCACACACTTACTAACGCCTTTTACTCCCAATAGACCATAGGCTGCCAAACAGCATGCTCCAACTCACTCTGTCCTGGGCCTTCCATTCTAGTTCTATCCAATTGTTGTTCATTCTTCTCATATCTGTCTCCGTTTCCCGGAGTAATGTGTTCTTCGGTCTTCCTCTCCTCCTTTGGCCTCGAGGATTCCATGTGAGGGCTTGCCTTGTAACTCAGTTGAGTGCTTTCCTCAATGTATGTCCTATCCACTTCCAGAGCTCCTTCCTGATTTCTCCTTCCTATGGCATTTGGTTTGTTCTCTCCCATATTAGGTTGTTGCTAATAGTGTCCGATCGGTGGATTCATAGTATTTTGCGTAGACAACTGTTAATAAACACTTGTATCTTCTGGATGATGGCTTTCGTAGTTCCCCACCTTAAAGCCCAATGCAGTAAGTAGTACCTTCTGAAAAAATTGGTGATATTGTTTGGCATTGATCTTAGTGATAAAAAATATAGTATATGTAATCAAACAATTAAATTCACTCCATAACATCCATAGGGATTGATAGTGTGTGATTCTCATCAAAGAAATCCTCCGTCGAAATTTCAGTCCGCCTGCAGGTAAAGTAACTATTTTTGTTTGTCTGTTTAGTTTTATCCAGATCTATCGGTGATATTATAACTTGGATACCAAACAATTCTGTGATTATTAAATGCATAAACTGGGTAATATATTTGAAATCCAAGTAAATCAGTACAGCTAAACTCACTTTTGTTGTCTTTTTTGAAATTGGAAATCATAGTTAAATATATCCCTTTTTATTTAGCTTTTCTCTTCTAATGTATGAAAGCCTAAATCAATATGGTAGTTTCTGTGTAGTTTCATGCATATAAAGAAATGCATACTCATATATTTAGTTACATATCTGATACCAATAATACTATATTTGGAGATAATAAACTACATTTTATAGATAAATAAACCAGTTTCTTCGGCATGACAACAAACTTCTTGTTAAAATTAAAACTCACAAAAATAACTTGGATATAGCAGAATCGGAATTTACTGAGAACCGTTTATTTTCTAACGGAACAATCTAAAGCTATTAAAGGGAGAAGAAAATGATGGATTGGATAAAGAATGCATTTAACCGTATGCAGATGTAACAAAAACTATGACTTCTGAACTGACGAGCTAGAACAAGCGAAACCTTCCACAACAGTCTACAACGTGACTAAATGCTATTGCATGACCAAAAAACTCCAGTTAACTGGTGTCTAGTACAACTAATATGATCAGTATCAATTTAAATTGTTTACATAACTACTCAACTTAGGAAATTATTTATCACTTACTCCCTAAGATCACTGATTTTAATAGTATTGAGAACAATCTTTCATCAAGTTACACTCCATATGAAAGTTTTGCTTTGAGCGACCATATTTTCTCATTATTGAACAATACGTTTGATTTAAGATAGTAATCTTTCGAAATCTTGTTAAAAAAACGTCTATTTATTCCCATACGATGATCTTCTCTATTATGCTTATTTTGCTTTAGAGTAGCAGTTAACTTTCTGACAATAATACTGACTTGCACTTAAACCGAGTGCAACAAATGGGTTACATTATGAGCCATATAAAAGATAATTCTTAACCAACGACCTCAACGTATAGAAGTTAGTATTGTTATTGTTAACTTTCAAACTATACATAAGAATTTCAAGCTTTTCGAAATCAATTAAAAGATTCGGACTTCGCAGATAACCTGGCCCTTCTATCCCATACGCACAACAAATGCAGATGAAGACAGCTAGTGTAGCAGCAGCCTCTGTATCAATAGGCCTTAACACACACAAGAGAAAAAGCAACATCCTCAAGTACAACACGGAGAATACCAACACAATCACACTTGATAACAAAACTCTGGAAGAGGTGGAAACTTCCATACACCTGGACAGCATCATCGATGAACATGGAGGATCGGATGAAGATGTAAAGGTGAGAATTGGCAAATTAAATGCCGCATTCCCACAATTGAAGAATATATGGAACTTAAAACAACTGTCAACCAAAACAAAAGTCACAATCTTCAATAAGAACATAAATACAGTTTTATCGTACGGAGTTGAAGCTTGAAGAACTACTACAATCATCATCAAAATAGGACAAGTATTTATAAACGATTGTCTACGTAAGATACTCAATGTCTAGTGACCGAATACCATCAGCAATACTCTAATGTGAGAAACGATTAACTAGCTTCCAAATGAAGAGGAAATCAGGAAATAACGTTGGAAGGGGATACAATGCATATAGAGGAAATCATCTAAGCGCATCACGAAGCAAGCTCTAACTTGGAATCATGAAAGGAAAGGGAAAAGAGGAAGACCGAAGAACATACTGCGTCGAGATTTGGAAGCAGGTATGAAAAGGATGAATAGCAACTAGAAAGGCCTGGAAAGGATCACCCTAAACAGGGTTGGACGGAGAATGGTAGTGGGCGGCCTATACTCCTCCACGAAAGGTAACAGACGTAAATAAGTAAGCAATTTCGAGCTGCTATAAGCGTTTATCAGGAGTTGGCAATGATTGCTTCAGTTTGAACTCTTCTGTTCACTGTCGTTGTTGTTCACTGAATATAAAAGGGCAACTCTGTAGGGAGAAACACAATTTTTCTCCGTTTTTATCAGTACACTGAGTTCTCGTTCACGAGTTTGCTCAATTCAGAAATTTTAGTGTAGTAACATCTTCTGATAATTCACCGAAATTTACGAATTCTACTTCAGTCATTAACATAAAAGACGTACTTTCAGGTAAATGTACCTGTTATCTAGTGTACACTAGCCTGTTTGTGCCACCAATAAGCATAATTTGCTAATGTCATAAAAAGACTGATCAAAAAAGTGTGATGCGTTTGCTCTACGCATTTTGATTAATCTACTAATATATACAGGGAAAATTTGTCACGTGACGGCTAACACTGAAATAGGTTGAAGATTACCGAGAACGATTTAAGGTTTTAAAAAACTGCTATTTTATGTACAAAAACAGTTTGAATCTTATAATAGACAAGACTTTCATAGACTAAAAAATGTGTTCTAAATTACCTTTCTGCCAAGTTATTTCTAGCACTCATAACCAAAAATATAAGATTAGTTTGACAATGATTGCGTAGATTTAAAATTTAACACCCTTCAGTGAGTAAAACTTATTAGGACCTAGTCAAATATCTGCCATTTGCATTGCGCGCATCAAACATTATCGCACAACATGAAAAATCGAAAACAAACTCTCTTATTTGAAGCGTAACTGAAACATTTGTTGTCATAATCAATTTCTTTAAAATATATGGTTCTACTGGTGCTAGCTATTGATACTTACCCCGCCTAATCAAAGAAGTAAACAAGTTGACTGCAGTAAATCAGAAATTATCATCAAAACTTTTTATCTTGTGCATGAGATATTTCTCGGATCTATGTGATAGGCAACCTGGTAGACTCATAATCGTTTAACATGCATGACTATTATCTCTGAAGGTTTCTGTATTTGAGGCTAAGGAATATATATTATATGTATATGTTCAAGACCAGTGTATCAGTGTATTGTATGTTATGTATATCGACAGACAGAAGTAGATTGTAACACCAATAAGAAGTGGAATGCCTGGCAACAGAATGTTGAGTAGTTCGAACTAAAGAGAACAGGAATGTAAGCAGAGAGTAATTATAATATTAACGCGAATGAAGGAATGATGACGTTTGGGAGGGAGAACTGATAGAAGATGTGTTTAATGAATAGTTTTCATATTTTTCCAGAGCACTATGTAATTTTACAACAAACAATAAATTGGTCATCATTCACTATATCAGCATTTCACGATTTCACCATATCATGTCATATCACCAAGAAAAATTAAAATTTAAGGAGCCTGCAAGTGAGTATTTGCGAGAACCGTTCAAATCTAATTCCGAAAGTCCGACTTTTACGCATAATGGTAAACCCTATCGATGGAGGAAACATGACCCTAGTTTTCTTGACATTCTCGGCTTTTGCTTTTGTGGGTATGTTTATACTACTTTTTTAATATTCAGTACAGTGCACTGTACGTTTATTTGTCGTTTTATATTCCAAAGTATTTACATAAACTAATCATATTTATCATATGCATTATAGTGATCATGTTGTCTTCGCCCTTGTAACAGTTTCTGCATCTCACAAATGTTTGTTTGAGTAAGGCTTCCATATTTTTGAGCTGTTAGTCCCTATTAGATACGCTGATTGTTATTGTTGGCTTTGGACACAGCTACCACCTCTAATTTGTGATATTCCATGTTACAATTAACCATTATATCATTGCTACCGTAAGCTTTTCTCTTCGCAGACGTACAGATACCTCACGAGTTGAATTTTGTACCCAATATATGCTCAGTTCGTGATAATAAAACCGTCTTTTAAATACATAATTATTGTGTTGTTAGAGATTTCGGTAGATTTGGCACTAATAGTGACTTCCAATAACGACTACACCGACTTATTTTAACTTTTGAGCACACTAATGAGTGGTGAATATGTCTTATGATACATTTTTACCTTCTCAGTTATACCAACATAATATGCGTATGCGTCTTAAATGTATGTCCCTGTTGTTCGTAGTGCAATTATTTTCATGAGATGTAGTTATTCATCTTCACATGCTTACATTGGAAGATCAAAACATGCCTGTCTGTTTATCAAGAGAACGCGATTGGTGTAATGGAAACAATACTATCATAACCAATTGTACCAGAGTTTGTTTTACTGTACCTGTTTGTTTAACTGTACCAAAGACACACTCTCTTCCGTTGATTGTGACCTTGCGCGGATTCGGTTACGCTCAGTAACCCCACTTGTAGCTTGGCACGATCTCGGTATTGTTTCGATACCACGAGATCGCCATCAAATACAACTCGACTACAGCCACCAACTGCCTTCTGATATTTGGCCTACGGGGGGTCTTATCGGTTAGCTGGCACGTAGTCTTCTTGTAGCGGCGATCATAGCCAAACGCGACTCAACGCCACACTACAACTTCAAACGTTTGAAATATATAATCTGTGGCACAAAATTATTGTTGATGTGTTGCCGACCCGAGAGCTCTATCTTCATTGTTTTTCCCCTGCGTGTGAACCTAGTTCGAATACACGCGTGACGAAAAAACAAGCTGAAGATCCCTCTAGAGCATTTCATTGAACGGTACTGTCAGTTATTTGTCCCTTCTCCATGTCTTGCTATTTTAACCTTTATTCGGGACGTTCTTAACCGCACTTTATGTTCTTCAATCTTCTTCGTCTGAGCTCTTATTATGTGGCTTTTGTTGCCTAACATAACTGTTGCGTGTTGCCGAACTGTTGACAATAAGGCCGTGTTTGGCGAAGCTGGAGGTCACGGCATGGTTCAGTGTATGACCGTCAAACTTTGACTGTCTGCCAGAATCCTTGTAGATAGATATCTGATCCCATCTTGTTGGTAGTATTTTTATTGATTCTCAGGCATTTAACTTTTGTATTTTAATGATTCCTTTTGTTGATCAGCATGTTAGTTTGTATTAGAGAAACCCTTGGCTGAATAGCCCAGGTTTTACCGATCGAGGTATTCTGTACTTTTGACACAGTTTATTCTCGTTCCCAAATCAGAATTGTCTAAATTGCACGAAGAGTTTGTGCTTTGTACTCTATACCAAAGAGCGTCATCTGACCTAACCGAATAAACTTTCGTTCGTTAGTTCTACGTTCAAACCGACTATTGATATTTCGGTCGCTACAACACGTGTCGGAAATACAACTGGCGTTTTATTTTTTACTTCCCGTCGTTATCAATGCAACGGGTCTATAGAATAATTATAAAGTGAAGTTATGGTCTGTATTAAGTAGACATTGTTCTATTTATTCGTACATCAGCTGATTCAACTAGAGGATATGAACTTGTAGTGTATATAGAAGACTAAAAAGCGAATTCCAGACGGATCCTCAATATGTAACGCCACTGAGTTTACGACTAAAACTAAAACTGTCCAAGTTATTTAGTAAACAGATTATCTAATGGACATAAACCCCATGATCTTACTTCACTCAATTAGTTGCGCGAAACAGCAAAGTGTGGTCATGATAGAAATATAAATGGCAGAGGGAAAGAATTAAAATGAAGTAACAAAGATTATAATTCAAAAAGTATACTGTACTGCTGTTTAGACTAAAAGAGTTTGTTGAGTGAAGTCCAAGAAATTAGAGCTTCATGAAAGTCACGATATAGTTTCGCGGCATACTATCAATTCATAAATGATTGTACTTATACGTTAACAGGGAAAATACGGAAACAAAAATCCAAACAGTATATCAGATATTTTAAGCCTACATTCTAAGTGTATTGGTGTTTTGAGGGAGATAGTTTTTATTCAACACTCAGGCAAGATAAAAATAGATGCGGAAATGCACCAAAAAAATCCTAAACTCACTAACTTTGTTTGGATTTCAGGTTTTTTTGACATGGTTGAAAACAATATACGCAGGCTTTATGAGATGGAAGTACAATCTTAGCATGATTTACATGCATCAAACGAAAAAGAGTATTCTTTTTAACACAAAGAATCTACACTGACCTCAATATACAGTAGCGTATTTTCTTCTTAATCTTGTTCAAATAATTAGTTAGCCGAACTTACGCCTAAGCTTACTATTCAATGTTTTATATTTTTACTATAAGAGGCTAACGTCAGCGTATTTTAAGCTTTTACGCTACCCATTTTTATCCGTTTTGATAGCACTATCTTTTTTGCGGCTATGAAATTCCATTTCAATCCAGTTAACAACTTATACTTAAACATGGCTACCAATAACACATGGAGGCGATCAGTCCGCCGTTAAGCCCTCACCTATGGTTTGTAATGTGACAAATGCAATTGCTGCTTTGGCAATAAAAGAATAGACTTCACCCAAACTGCTTACTATCTTCACAGCAAGCCAAATAGTGAAAACGTATGTAGTACATATGATGTGAATGCTAATGACATGCTGACGAGTATTATTTGTCTTCTGACAGGTTTACGAAAACAATTGCCTGCAACCCTGTAGAAAACTAGTTTAAAAACGGACAAACGATCAAAGGCTCGCGTCTACGTAAGGAACAAGATATTCGACAATACTAGAATTGGTAGAGCAGGCACCAACACCGATGAGGATATATAAAAAATCAGCACCGCCATAAAATCGACGGTGTTAGACCATTCTAATATTTCTCTCAGTTTGTGGAACAAAAATGGCAAAATTCTTAGTGGAAATCAGATAGCAGGCTAAAACGTCTGGAAATCGAACTATTGAGGGTCATACGATTTAAACGGTGAGAAGACACAAACCATCAAAATCACCCAAAACGCCTTCGTGTAAGCTTCTCGTGAAGAAATTTAGGAACGCCATGGGAATAATGAAGAATTTTCCACATTCAGAAGACAGTCTCATAGGATAATCCTCAAGGAATCTAGCGAGATATGCTTGCACGGAATGAACATTACTGTTCAAGTTATTCCAGAAAACATGAACCACAATAATGCAGTCTAAAGTAGTTCGGAGTCAGAAAACAGTCCTTGAGGCTTAAGAACATCTTGGTTCAAAAATGGTACGATTAACAAGAAGAACGGTCATTCTATATCCTATCTTTCGTACTGGAACCCTTAAACATCTGAACAGGCCACATAATGCAAGGACTAAGCAGAAAAGCAAGTTGGCAAAACGTATAATAGACAGAAACTACATATTCGGAAAATCTTGTATGGGAAGTTTTCCTGGTCATCCATGCAAGCTTCATTCAGGCGAACAGGACGATGACACACACGCGTTTTGAACAGAAAGCGTTAACTGCTTATATATGGGCGCTGCGAGGCTACAACAGAAAAACGATGGATTGCGTGAAATGAGTAGTGCTAATAATATTCATATGATAGAAATGTCTGAAACATAGGCGTCACAAATGTTCCAGTGAGGTTTCTCCAGGGCTCAGTACAAGGATCTCTTTTATTTTTTAACTTAAATGGCATTACTTCGCAGGAATCGTCTGAGCTATTGCGGATAACAGTTGACTTCCTCTCGACACTTCAAAGTGTAGAGTGGTCCATCTGAGACATGTTGCGGATTACACGAATAACTCAGGTGACCACCATTTAGAGGTGTATAGGGTAGAAAAAGATTCAGGAGTTTTTGCATCCTATATTCCAAGCTCTTATGATGACTGCTACAAAAAAGGCTTCCGAGAAAATCTTGCAATAGTAAAGTTGAAGAGCATTTTTGACCGGTTCGATAGCGAAACTTAGCACTTAATCTTCAGTGGTTTTATTCGGTTCCACTTAGAGTATGGAAGCATTCCTGAGCACCCCTTCAACGGTAACCTTAAGAACATATCACAAGAGAAAGGACTGTGCTATACAAATAGTTAGATTCTGTAATTTCTTGAAGGTTGAGGCGGTTTGAGTGACCTCTCAGGAGTTCTTCATGAAGAAACTTGTCATAGTCTTAAATACTCGGCACAGTATTTTACCATAATTTCCTCTCCAATATGTTGAAAATCCCCAGGTTCCTACCTGAAGGCATAGGCGATACGCTGATACTAAATGGGGAAGTTTGTCAAATGAAAGCTTTTTCTATTACCTGCATAACCATCTGTACAATTCGCTCATGGGAGGATTAAAGTTCATCTGTTTGGCCTAAGAAACTAAGTAGAGGTTGACGGTCAAATTCAAAGTTTGATTAATAAGACTTTGGAAAGTGAGTGTCATTCATTGGTTCTTCTGAGTCTCATTGAATTTTAATAATTTTTACAAGGTCCCGTATCTATTTAACTGACTGTAGATCAGAATGGAGCACCTATATTTTTCAACCCAGTATCCGAATTCTGCTTGCGTTTGCATCATCACCATTAGTACTATTATGATTGGTCTCGTCTGACATCTAACATTTTTGCATATTTTTATATGTGATCTTCCAGAATTTCTAAATGAGGGATTTGAAGCTTTTTATTTCACCTATTCACATAAATTAGATTTTCAGACTCATTTTTATTTTTACTGTTTAAATATAAGGTCCTAAATACTGCCTTCATTCTACTCTTAATAAAGAATTTAATTGGGTTATTCAAAGCTGTTGCTACGCAAAATCTTATTCTACTACCAAGTCCTACTTTGTATCCTATTAAATAAATTCTCGTATTTTCGTCAAGACACTCAGACTTGTAGTGCTATTGGTTCCCAACCACATTATCTTTGAAGCTGAGCATATAATTACTGAGAAGATTTGCTTTCAACATGTAACGTTTAGAGAAGGTCAACGATGGTAAACACTGGAGGTTTATTGAATAAAATCCTTCTGTCCATGCTCACTTTTATGTAACCACTTATACAATCTACCACAAATGCTTATTTCAAAACCTATGAGAAGTCGAGAACCAATTTTCGTGAGGCTAGTGACATACAAAGCGTTGATAAGCAAGACCTTATTATCATTTCAGAAAGAACAGGTCATGGATTCGCAAAATAGTTCCAAAAGGCTGTTATGAGATGAACTCAGAAAAGCGATTGAATCCTACCACTCCTGAACCAGTTAAACACACTGAAGTTCGAAAATAATGTTGTTGATATAGCTAATACTTTACCATAATGTTTCAGTGTTTACCACCGACGAAGGCGAAACGACAAACATCTATTCCAACAATAGTGCATTGTCTCGTGATTATTGGGAACGGAGTTTATCCACGACTACCTCACGAGTACAGAGATGCTGACGGTATCTATCTTCGTGTTATAGTAGCACCAGAAAGTTTAATTGTCAGACCACTATCAATACTGTAGGTATGTCTTTTGAGCAGTTGAAACTGCCAAGACATTGGGAGGAGGCAGTAATGAGTCCGACTATGAAACTGGGTGTAGAGATTTGGTGAATAACTATTGATCAGTCAGCGCAACTGGTGCTATGGTCCCATTGGACTTGCATTGGAACCGTTTCACGCTACTTGATTTTGAACGAAAATGGACTGATGACTATGGTCAAATTAATGAAGAATATTACTCAGGCTGTCATTTTGCGTCAAATTGAAGGGATATTGAATCCTCACAGCAATGGGAATCGGAAGGTTTAACACAGGTCGCTTGATTTGCCTTTCTTATCCTAAAGACTGAGGGTTGAAACATCATAAAGCGCCAGATCCGACCTGCGCGTTGCGTCTAGTATTCGTAAGACCTAAAGTATTGTCCGGTTTCATATTCATACGTTAGATATAATAACGCATAATCCCTATTAAAATGACAACGGTGCGATTCCTGTTTTTTAAGCCATAGTAGAATGGTTGATGTTGTTTTGATTGCTGGATTTGCAGTGAGATATTGAACCCTCATAACATTAAACTCTCATGCAAACAGAAATAAGTAGTTAAAGTCGAACCTTTGGGAAATATGCGGGACATTGATTAAAAAATGTGATGTCGATTCTCTGATGTTGCCACCGAAATTCACTCTTCAACCAGGATGATGAGACAATGAGGTATTTCGCCTAAATATCTAGTGTGTGGCGATCATTTAACTAATGTCATAAGTGTGAAAATCCGACTTCGATAGTTTAATCATGTCTTACAAATGTCATCCCAGCGACTTTTAGATCGTGCTTTATTTGCTGATAGTAGGACTGGTTGAGAAAGTGGAGTGATTTGCTTATAACAGGACATCGGAGTATGAAAGAAAGCTGTAAAAGAATGACATCTGTCAAATCACCACAGCTCTCAGATTGAGGTCTTATACGCGGTTCAACTGGGTGGCTTCGAGTGGTGTCAGACATGGCTCAGAATAAAAACCAGTGGCAGTTCTGGTGTAGTTCTCTCATACATCCTTCAATAATTTTGAAATGAACTCACTTAACTAAATGAAATTTTTCTCGGCCGTATTTTTAAATCAACTGTATCCTTCACCAAATACTATTTTCATTTATTCAGTTATTGACTGTATGACTCACTTCGCTATTTCATAATATTACCAGTTCATTTTTGTTGGACATCATTTTCGGTGCCCAGATTTATCAGGAAACACATGTGCTATAAATGATCAAGAAAAGTGGTGAAAGCTCACGTGTAAAATGTGGCTTACAGCTTTCTACCTTATAATGTATACAGACTTCTAAAATGATGTCCTTTGCGTTTCTCAAATAACGCTATACATAACAGGTTTTTCTGTGGTCATTTGCTGAGTTTTAATTTGTCCTTAATTAATCTTCCGATATTAGCACTTGGTACTATGTAATACTCACCAACATTTGTTTTTGGCACATTAATCTCTACGATCCATTCCTCATGTCTAAATTATGGGCCTTCACATTTATCCATTTTTAACACATGAAGGTAGTTTCGCTTTTCGCATATCCAGAGCTATCTATATTAAACCATAGTATGCACCCTTGTACACTTTTCTACAACATACAAAAGCTAACTTAATATTATTGTTGTGTACTGACAATGTGGAATTCATTTTTGAGGGCAAGCACTTTCGACCAGTTAATGACGTATCTATTGGTAGTCCTTTAGAACTATTGCTGGCTGATGTGCTTATGTCATATGCGGTTAGTCTAGTTGAAGGATCAATGTAAAATATATTTCTGTTTAAGCACTATATAGATAACATCATATTCATATGTGATAAACGTGATTATGTTAACTGCTTGTTAAGGGAACGCATCACAATTCAAAAGTATATTTACCTTACATGCGAGAAGGGATGATTATCAAGCTCCTCTTTTTTTACATACTAATTAGTGAAGTAGACGATAATTCCACCAATTATTCTGGATGTGGAAAGCCAACATGGACAGGGCAATATTTTAGTCTTCACAGTCACTACCCAGTTTAGTACAAACATGGGCTCATTCAGTAGATTCAATCGCATTTGCATTAGTGATGCTATTGAGAGTAACTTGAAGCTCTTGACTGAAACAGTGATGAGTGTCTGTTACTCATTGAAGTTTATAAACCATTTGAAAGGTGGCTATATGATGAGATTTATTATGTTTTTCTTACCCAGGGATTTTGTATTTACTATCGTACCATTCACAGGTGACTTATGTTGAAATTAAGAATTAAATTAGTTATCAATAAGGAATTTATTGCAGATCAACTCATCACTATCAGAAAGTCAGTATTTGTGTTTCACCAAAGACCCAAACAGCATTTAAACAGTTGTGTCACATTCCATTGCGTCTGTCAATTAACGTATATGTGTGGAAACAAATATATACGAAGAGTAATCGTTAACTGAAAGCAAGAGTGACTAAACACACACCTAAATGGCTACAAAGATAAATAAATTCTAATGTTCAAATAAGATAACAGGATCAATCAGTAATCTAAAACGTAACAACAGGTACATATATGCATCAGTTCAAGTTACCACACCTCATTAGCATAACAAGATGAGCATCAAATTCATAGAATTAGTTACTTTAATGGTGGTAACATATAAAAGAAAAATTGCAAAAAGGGATTTAATACAGGAAGAAAGAATTAGTTCGTAGAATGAAAGATATAAAACAATTTTAATCTCACGGTTTAAAGAAAGACAAAGAATGTATACACGTGCGCAATTGTGATCGGTTCTGAGCTGTCACCCAGTCTCCAACCACTGATTACGATAGTCTCACGGACCCCAACCAAGTAGTCCGCGTCTACCAACATTGCTCAGACCAGAAGCTAGTGACTTTATGGGATGATAACACGTTGTGGTTTAGTCGCTCCTAGCTCTCCAACACTAGTCAGTATTGCGCGAATGGTGAATATGTAGTCGATGCAGCTACGACCAGGTCTGAAGCTAGCCTAGGTTTCTCATCCCGACCGTTGTTGCTACCTTGACGTGGTGGTCGGGCTTGCCTATCGTGATAAAGCAACTGAGCTATTCTGCCTGGAACGACCGTTCCTCAAGGTCTTACCATGCCAGACAGGTCGGTTGAAGAGCGGTAAGACTAAAAGTAACAAATCCAAGGTCCGAAGGCGAAGTCTCACCGCTGACTGTACATAGGTGTGACAGCAGTAGGGCGTTTCCCTCAGGTAACCAGCATGACTGCGATGCTGCCTTCCTTCAAAGGGTGCAGTTGAAAAAGATTGACCCTAGAAATGCACACCTCGTCTTATCTCACGGATTTTCGTCTCCGGCGGTAAGGTCTCAACAATTACGAATTTAACTCAAAAATCACCCACAAAAAGGTCGTGTATGACCAGCTTCAAGTAGTTGTCCCTTGGATACTACGGTCACGCTCTCAGGTCACTATGACCACCTCTAACCCAATTTCTTTTCAGGTATCTCCAGAAGAACTCTTCCACGGTGTGGGCAACCGGGAAGTGATAACCGCCCTCATACTTCCAATAGCACTCAGGATCACTGTATTCACAATCAATTTCCCTTTTCAACTCTTATCATTCCTCCTACATAGACTTTTAAATCTAAACTTCCTCCTTTGGTTTCCTCCTCAAGTATCACCATAGCCAACGATTCTAGTGCTCAAAACGCTGTCCCAGGTCTACTGAAACCTCGCTCCAAACTACACATTGGAGCCTTCAACGTACGCACACTATGTCAAATCGGTCAGCAGGCATGCTTGGCTAAAACCCTAGAATCTCGTACCATTGATGTATGCTGTGTCTCCGAAACGCGCATACAGGATCCTAGTGTGGTCACTCACTTGACCTCACCTCGGCAAAACGAAGAGCCGACGAGATACACCCTCCGTGTATCTGGCGACCCGATGGCTAGTCCTCGTGGACTGGCAGGTGTAGGCGTAGCACTAAACAAGAGGGCGGAACAAGCGCTATTATGATGGATCTCCGTTAACAGTCGTCTATGCGCTGTTCGGCTAAACGGCTCCGTCAAACTCGAAAGGGTAAGGACACACGTCGTTGCCTTTTCGTCGTTTCTGCCCACGCTCCCACTGACTGCAGTTCGGATGAAGTGAAAGATGAATTTTACAGAAAACTGTCCAAACTTCTTCAGAAAGCTAAACGTTGAGACATAGTACTCGTAGCAGGTGAATTTAATATCCAGGTAGGTAACTTAAACGAAACAAAAAGACATTTAGGTGGGTATTTTAGTATTCCGGCACAGCGAACAGATAATGATGATCGTCTGCTGCAACTGTGCTCAGACAACCGTTTATTTTTAGCAAACACAAGTTTTAAGCATAAGGAGAGACACCGTCTGACATGGCGACCCTCTGCACCAAATCAACGATGGACTCAAATAGACCATATTGCCATCAGTCATCGTTGGAGAGGGTCGATAGACGATTGTCGCTCATTCCGGAATACCTGCCTTGACTCCGACCATGCCCTAATACGAGCACGCATCTGCTTGCGCCTCACTGGACGCAAAATAGCCACATTAAAAAGACCCATTCGAACTGAATTCAGTAACGAGAAAAGCAAAAGTAGGTTCCAAGAACAACTGAGTCACACTTAGGTAGTTCTGAAAACGAGGCTGACCCAGATGTTGCTTGGAAAGATATAAGAACAGCTGTGAAAACAGCAGTGACATCTATTGGTGATTTAAACCACAGGGTTACAAAGAACCAATGGATTTCTTCAAGGTCTATTGCACTGATAGATTCTCGTAAACTCATCCCATCAGGTTCTGAACACGATGAAGAGCGTAAAGAAATCAGATCTAGCTTAAGCAAAAGTCTAAGGAACGATCGTGAGCAGTGGTGGGCAACGAAAGCAAAGGAGATGGAAAAGGTGGCGGCTATAGGTAACATCAGACGGCTCTTCAGACTCATAAAAGAAACTGCAATTAAAAAGTCAGGTGTAAGTGAGACTATTTCGGAAAAAGACGACACTCCCATCTGCTCCCAGTCCAGACGTTTAGAACGATGGGCGGAACATTTTAAGGAGCAGTTCAGTTGGCCTTCAGCTACTCTACAACTACCCCCTATTCCCAGACAGTATGAATGGAACATTGAAGTAGGTCCTCCAACTCTAGCTGAAGTTCAAAAGGCTATAGTTAATCTAAAACGAGGAAGGGCAGCTGGTCCAGATGGATTAGATCCAGAAATCTTTAAGGATGGTGATCCAATTTTAGCGACTAAGTTGACTAATATTTTAGCCAAAATCTGGGAGTTGGACGTAATCCCCTCTGATTGGTCACAATCACTTATCGTCCCTACCTGTTTGGGTTCCGCATGACTATTGTAACCAGTGGTTGGAGAC